ATCCGCAAAGCTCCGAACGCTTGCCTGAAAATTTTGCCGGGAAACTCACCTTCGGTTCAGAAACTTTGCTGGATCCTTGAGCCGAAAGTGAAGCAAGCTCTTGCTGCATGCGAAGAAGGGTCACCTTCAGCTCGGTATTCTCAGATTGGATTTTTGCAAGGACTTCGGCAAAGAAATAAGGATGGCTTGGAGACTCCATCGGCAGAAAGAAACAAAAAGGGGGAAAAAAGGCAAAGGCAGTCAAACAATCAAAATGAGCTAAAGGAAAAAAATGAAAAAAAACACAATCTGAATCAAACTGTCAAGACCCCCAACAAGATCAAGACTGGAAAATGCAAAAGACAAAGAGAAAAACTAATGGAAACAAAGAAGAAGCCTTAGACTGGTGTTGATTCAGATTGTGGAGAAATGGAACAAGGCTAACCTATATATACTATAAGTTGATGAAGCTCCACCACTCTTGGATTGAGGACGGCCTAAATATAGTTGAGGTCGAGGAGGCGCCACATCATTATCAGGAATGTGGCTCAAGACTCAGGAATCATACAGGAAATCAGACAGTCAGGAATAGGGAAAAGTCTTGAGAGTCAGGAATAGGGAAGTGTGTCAAGAATCAAGAATGTGGTCTACAGGTCAGGAATCCAACGAGATTCAGGAATGTGGTATGAATTGGGGGATTCCTGACAAATAGCAATCTCAATCCAATTTGCCATAGCATTCAAGCAATTTACTAAGACTCTTTGCTCTTACCTCAAGCTGGAGGGGGGTTGTGGAAGTATTTCAATTGCATAGCATTGTATGTAGCTAGCTAGAATTTTTGTTTATTAGTGCTTCTCATTTTAAACTGTTATTGTTTTTTTACAGGTCCTTCCAGCTGATCTATCCAAGGACTTAGGATGAGGATAGTAAATAGTAGGCAATGTAGAATACAAAGGATGGTAGCACAAGTTCTTCTCATGGCTGTAGTGGGATACTAAGAGTTTTTTGGGGGTGCTAGATGTAGTTATAATTCTTTATTACTATATCTAGTTGGGGATAGAGATGATCAAGCTAGTGAAGAGCAAAAGTAATGATGACAAGAAGTAGCTTGTGTTGTGAATAGGAATCTTGGTTCATGGTGGGTGAAGCTAAGGAGCTATGTATGGTGGGACTTTTTCATGCTCAACACATACAATGACTCACGCTGGAAGCAAAGGTTGAGGATGTTGAAGACCATGTTTTTTCAACTTTGCTAGATTCTTAAAAGTGACTTGGAAAAACAGAACACACACTATAGGCATCTAGTTCCAATTCTAATTCACCTCACAGTCACATTCTATAAGCTAATGAAGAGCCTCAACTACAATGAGCTTGTTGAGCAGTTTACAATTGAAAAGTCTACAACACATGAGATCATCCTAGAGACAATGGAAGCAATAGCTCGCAAATTTGCCTACAAGATTAATCTATTATGGCTGGCCAAGTCATGTTAATTGTGTTGTTTTTTGAGGCATCAAACTAAACTTATTGTTTCTAGATAATGTTCATGATATGTGCAAAATTCTACTATTCAACAGCAAATAGAGTCTTATGTGGTGTTGCAAGAACTAAAAATTAATGTGATTGGCCATAACATCAAGCCTTACTTGGTAGGAGACAAAGGATATTAGCTCAAAACTTTTATGATGATACTGTTCGTAAGTAAGTTTTATGATAAAAGTCTTTTGTATAGCTTGTCACCTTCATTTTTTAGAGTCATCATTGTCCTTTGGTAAGAAGGAATTCAATAAGCAACACTATCAAGCTTGAGTTGTTGTGGAGTTGTTTTGGACTCTTGAAGTAGAAATCCAAATATCTTGACTCTTCACTATGAATGAAGCTAGCATTTCTATCAAACATAGAAGAGGGGGGGGGGGGGTTTAATCTTAAAATATTTTTAAAAGGAATCTCCAAGATTCCCTAAAGATTCCAACACCCTAATTAAGGCATTTCAATTTTTTTGCCGGTCATCGTTGAGGGCTCCCTAGAGTTAAATCATGTTGGGGATTCGGTCGAGGAAGGAGGAGCAGCTGATTTTGGGGAAGGAGGAGCTGTAGGGCTTAATAAGGAGATGGTTTGGGTTTGGGGCGGTAGCATGGAATGGGGAGCAACTGCGGTGGAGGAGCATCTAGGGTTGGAGGACAGGCACTAGGCCCAGCTGTCGCTCGAGAAGGCAAGCCGCCTCAGGGCCAAGGCCGTGGAGATGCCAAGCTCGTGGATCTTGGTCTCAATCAGGGCGAACTCGGAGCTGGAGTGCAGGGAATTGGAGCACGGGGAGCTATAGCATGGGGAGCTAGAGTGTGGGGAGCTGTAGAACGGGGAGCTGGAGCCTCTCCCCCCACGGCTTCTAGAACTTGATTGTTCTCCAAGTTCTCTTTTACAACAACCAACAGTGTAAGCTTCATCTCGAGTTTAGCTCAAAGTTTTTAGGAGAGTGGTTTCAGGTTTAGGGTGGCAAAGCAGGTGACCTGGAGCAAGAGTAGTCACCAGGACAGCAGTACATGCAATTGTGGTTTCATAACTTGGAGGAGTAGAACGACATTGCTGTTGAACAGGAGGCAGAAAAAGATGATGGGGGTGATGAAGAGGAGGGCGATGATGACGAGGAAGGGGAGGCGAGTGTTCATGTTGTGAAGAAAGTGAGGAAGAAACATAAGAAAATCTGGGGGGATGATAAGATAGCTTCCCTTATTGACTTCAAATGGGAAGATCACCTTGGAAAGATCGGGGCAATGCAAGGTAACAAGGAGATGACGTTAATAGCAACCACTCGCTGGAAGAGGATTGTGAAAAAGATGCAGGCTGCCGGCATGCAACAGGACTAGAAGGCTTGCTGAACTAGCTAGAACAACCTTTGCAATGACTACAAGTGCGTTTGTAATTTCCAGAGGAAAACTAGGAATCCCAACTACTTTAGCTTAAGCCATGAGGATGTGAAGCAGCTTATGCCAATGAAGCTAAACTTGAAGGTGGTCCTAGTCGAGTAAACAACTACTACAATCGTCAAGTGCCTTGAGTACAAGATTTGATTCCCAGAGACAGTAGCGGAGGTTAAAGTTGTGGCTGCAAATTTTCAACAAATCACCAAAACCCATCTCCCTAATGTGGCTAGGGCAATCAACTATACACATTTCAAAATTATCTGACTAGTTGGCCCGGATGGTGAGGGCTACTTTGATCGAAAGCAACAGTACTTAGTGATCTTGCAAGGAGTTTGTGACGCTCAGAAAAGGTTCTTAAGTATCTATGCAAGCTAGCTAGGTAATTACTTTTAATTTTTTTCTTCTATACATTTAATTGGTTTATTTTTTTCCCAAGGGAGTGTTCATGACATGAGGGTTTTTTGGAACTCCAAGCTATGCCACAAGATCCAAGCACAGGAATTACTTACAGTTCCTCAAGAGTTTACTTTTGATGAGTGGATTAAGCCATACATGGTGCGAGACAAGGGCTACTAGCTGTAGTAGCACTTGATGATCCCTTACTTATGTAGCTGATTGTTTTTTTTTTTTCAATTATTTATGTGAAACAGGTTCCCAGTTGATGGTGACTGAGGCAGAATACAACTAGCAACACCATCTAGCCTGGATTGTTATTGAACAAGCATTTGGACTTTTGAAAATGAAATTCAGATGTTTGGATCAAAAACAAAGGATCAAGCTGAAGTATTTGCTAAACATCATCAAAGGTTGTTGCATCTTGCATAACTTCTTAATTGATATTGATGAGACAAACATCAATGCCGAGATCAAAGCGTGGGAAAGACACATTCAAGCCTTGAAGGAAGTAAAGATTTTTTAAGATTACGAGGATCCTGTTGTGGCTGAGGGAAAGCCACAGGAAGACTTGTGTGGGCCAAAAGATGCACATAAGGTTCAAGAGAACCTAATTAACTTCCTATATTTGCGCCGTCGTAGAGCTGCGTGATTTGAAATGCTATATTCAAGTTTAATATTTGAAATTTGAAATTGAAATTTAGGATTTCGAATTTGATTTGAATTTGAAATTTTAAAATATTTTAAAACATGTTTGAATACTATTCTGAAGACATTTTAAAGTAAATCAGGTGCGAAGTCACTAGTGTTTTATGTTAAATTTTTACCACAAAAAGCTATGCAGATGGGAATGAAAATGTTTTAAAATGCATATTTAAAGCTTAAAACATTCTAAAAACTACTCAAAGTGCAAATGCAACAGTCACATAAATTAAAATATTTTTATATAAAGTGCAGGTGCAACTTTCTTTCAATTACGATGATTTGTATTTTATTAAGATAGTTATGAATCAAACTAAAGATACTCTTGACACTTCACTCACAACATTAAATATATATGCCCAAGGTGGTGATGTTGTGGTGGAAGTTGTCCATTTTTGGTAATCTGGTCCACTTGTTAAGCACTTTAACTTAAAGCTTGGGAGAAGAGCAGCATACCCAGTGCTGACCATGCCTGGATGGCCAAGTCGTACACGTAGCCAGTGTGCCCCATGATATTGGACTGCTGCATGACCAACTTGAAGAAACCATTGGCATCGTCTAGAAACATCATCTGTTTGTATGGAGTGCTGGTATCTCTGTCCACTCCTAGGTGACCAGTAAATTGTAATTATTGAGTGCTTGTATAAGGGAAAGCAGCGGATGCATACAAGGCTGCCAGAGGAGGCCACAACTCTACCATAATTTACAAAGGGTATCTTGAGCTCTCCAGTGGAGATCCTAAGGCATAGCAGCACTTGAACTTAGGGGAGTTTGTCACGATCCGGGAGGGGGGAGCTCTCTAACAGGTGGTGAAACGTTGCGAAGTTGATGATCCACGACTTAAAAACCACAGAGCAACCTAACAGTGTGGCCAGGTCCAAAAAGCTCAAAATCCTCTCCAATGTATCATCCTCGGTGATGAACTTCAGCCTGCCTAAAAATCCTTGACCCGAGCTTCAAAAGTCAAATAGTTTTATTGACTTTATATACTTCCGTTAAATCTTAATGCTTATTACTGGACGTTATCCTTCGTATTGGAAGGAGAATGGCGCCCAAGCAAGGGTAGTCCTCGAGGGCAAACCAAGGGCTTCTCGTCTCAGGTAAGAAGGCGCTAGGGTTTCACATTCTCTAGGTCGCGAGATCGTGAGTTTACTCCTTGTTCCTGTGGCGCAGCGATCCATTGGCTCCTCCGCGGAAGATTTTGAGCTTCCTCGCGACATGCGCGCCAGGGCTGGAGGCTGTGGTAGCAGCCGAGCTCCAGGCCCCGGCCATCCGAGCCGCGAATGTGGCAATCGCGGAGAGTGGCGGCGCCGTGTTCTTCTCTGGGACTTGGATTGTGGCATTCAATGCCATTCTCTGGTTGCGCTGCGGATCGAGGGTGATGCATCTCATTGCCAGCGCCAATCTTCCATGGGCCGATGCAATCGGGATTGATCCAGTCTATCAATTTGTCAGGCAATGCTCAAACGCTTTATATTTTCTTCTTTCTTCCTTTGTTTGCTTTCATGGATACAAGCTTTATTCTTTTCTATGGAGATTTGTTTCGCGTTTGAGATACATCTTCCTTTTGCTTTCTGGTTGCTAAGCCTAACGTTTTTTCTCTTGTTTAAATCAGATATGCAGTGCATTGGAAAAGATTTCTTGCGAGCAATGACGACGGTCACAAAAGGTTCCGGAGTTTTTCAGTGGAATGTAGGGTCCGGGACTGTACGAGAAGGTCTGTATCCTTGTACGCTCCAAGAAAAGCCAACGCTGCCATCAATGATGCTCTCGACTTGGAGTTTAATCCCGACGTACTCGAGCCTCATCTCAAGGAACCAGCTGAAGTTCCACTCTTTTTACTCATACACAAGGACAAGGCCAGGCTCTACAGAGACATGAGCTCGGACCTCGGTGAAAGAAGCTACAAAGAAGTCCTGGACAAGACAAGCTTGCCTGGAGAGATTGCCGCAGGAGTTTTGACACTGGCCGGGTGGAACTATGCAGTCCCAGGATTTGGAGAGATCAATCGAAACGCTCCAACCGTGCTGCTGGATCCAATGTGTGGTTGCGGAACGCTCCTGGTCGAGGCAGCTCTCATGTCTTCCAACACTGCTCCGGGGCTCCTATGCAAAAGCTGGCCTTTCACGGTTCGTTTTTCATCATCTTAGTTCCTTTGGACGTTAAGTTCTAACTTCGACATGTCTAGGACTGGCATGACTTTGACGAGGAACTCTGGCAAGAGTGCCGCGCCAGAGCTTCAGCTGCCATGCTCGCGGTTCCATCCAGTCACAAGTTTTTGGGGAACGACAGGGATCAAAAAGTGATCTCGGCGTGTGCTCGAGCCGCGGAGCGTGCTGGAGTTGCACACTTGCTCCAACTTAGCAGTCAAGACTTTGTGCAGTACGAGCCTCCAACCCGTCCATCGCTGGTGGTGGTCAATCCTCCGTGGGAAAGCAAAGAAAGAACGACGTAAGTGAAAGCTTTCCTTTATTCTTTTTTTGCAAAGCTCCTTTATCTTTTTTTTTTCTTTTTTTTTTTCCAGCTTGATTCCACCTTTTTTTTTCCTTTCGTCTCTAGTTTTCTTTTTCTTTTTTTCTTCCTTTTTTTTTTCTTTCGTCCTTCATCTTTCCTTCTAGTCCACCATTTTTTTCTTTATTTTTTCTTCCTTGCTCTGAATTCGATGTTTGGTCCTTTTCTTTTCTCTCGAGATTGATCTCTTCCGATAATTCCCTCTTTCCGCGAGCTCACTTCATTTTTTAAAAAAACTTTTTTGCCTTCTTGCAGGACTTTGGTTCCAACGTTTTCGGAGCTGGGCAGATTTTTGAGGCGCCACTGTCGTGAAACCGATGCCTACGTCTTGAGTGGCAGTCGCCTTCTCGCGAGCAACATGAGGCTAAAGGCGGACGTCAATTGGCCGATTAAAATTCAAGGCCTCCATTTTCGACTGTGCCACTATTACATTCTTCCAAAAAAGCGCAAGGATCAGGCTGCGCCACAGGGCACTTGACACGTTCCACAGAAACGTGTTGACACGTGTCCATCTGGGAGATTGACACGTCATGTGGCTGCCGCTTGCGTGTATGTAGAGCGAATCTTTGAATATGCCTGGGGATTATTCGGTTTCTTACCGTACACTGTTTTTCCGCTAAATTTGGATCGTCATTTTGAGCCATACACCTGAAAAGAACACAAAAGAAAGAAGAACGCATTGGCTCGCGAAAAGCTGTGGTGCTCTTCTTCCGGATTTGCGGGGATGCTTGCGCGCTGGGATCAATCGCTCGATCTATCTCCTCCATAGCCGATCTAGGTGACGATTCCATCCATTTGGGGCGACCTAAATTAGGGTTTTTGACCTAGTGGCTTCGTCCCCGGAGGAAGGGAGGGTTTGTGAGCGCCGGCAACGACGCAGCGGTTTGAGCGAGCATCCAGCGCCAGGAGAATTCGTGTTCTTTCGAAAAAAATTTCCCCTTCTTTTCACTCTTGGTGTGAGATCTTTCCCTCTTTCTTTTGTCTTTTTCTTTCGTTTTTTTTTTTCTTCGTTCTCTAGCGGCGCTGGCTCTTGGGGACGAGCCCAGCGATTCTTCTCGGGAGAGTCTTGGGGAATTTGAGCAGGGGGAAGGAATTTAGGCACAGGCAGGGCAGGGGGAAATTTTTTCCAGGGGAGATTTTCGCTCCATGGGAGGGAATTTCTCCGCGGCGATTGATGGATTGGGTCTCTGGCAGGGCTAGGAGGATTTGCTCGCTGGGTCGGGCTCGATGGAGCAATGCCAGTGGTGAATTCCTGGCGCTAGGGTGAATCTTTTGGGAGGTTTTCGCCCGGGCATTGGAAGAAAGCCTATAATGGTCTGTTCTAGGCATGGAAAGAACTGAGCCATCTCTGGTGCCAGAATGGCTCAAGGGTGTTGGAAGTGGCTCCTCGGCGCATCACCAAGGTAGCTATACCGACTTTAAGAGAAAGATGGAAACGTTCTAACGCTTTTCTTCTTTTTTATTTCTGTCTAGATGATGGTCAGAGGCAAAGATTATCACAGCATAGCGAACAAGAGTCTCCACGCTACTCTGCGTACGTACCACCGAGAAGAATAACCATTCCAGAGCGTCACCAAGTCGACAAGGATTCTTACACTGGTAGCCGTGTCTATCCCAACTTTTCTCGGACGCCATCGTCGTATCGAGGCGACCACCATCGGGGTGATTGGGATTCGGATAGGGAGAGGGAGAGGGATAGGGAGAGAGCAGCGACTAGTTTTTTGAGCGACGGGAAGGACAGGGATGATCGTGCAAATGGTCGCTGGCCCGGACCGGGGAGGCTACTAGATCAAGAGTTTCCACTTCGACGTCCACACAGTGTAGGGAATTCTGGTAGGCTAGCGGAGAATGGAGAGAAGAGGTTTGTCAGCGATAGCAGTAGCAGCAGCAGCAGCAAACTCGCAGGCCCCGTACCAAAGGCTGCCTTTGAGCGGCATTTTCCATCGCTTGGTGCTCAGGAGAAGGTTTACTCGAGCCTCGGCAATGTGTCCGTGTTGAGCCCCCGTCACCTTTGGCAACACTCTCGGACCGGTGTTGGTCTGGACTCGGATAGTCGCTCCAGCCTCGTGGAGCCCAACGGCGTCGCTCCCAGTGCTACGTCCGGGACGCCAAAGATGGCTGAAGCTCTAGCTCACAATCCTCCTCGAGTCAGAACTCCACCACAGGTATGTATTCTTTTTTGCTTTTCGGTATTTTCTTTTCCTTGCCTTTCTTTTCATTTTTTTCTTTCTTTTTCTAATTGCTTGTCACTTTTTTGAGTTGCAGCAATCTACAGAAACCAGGCTGGAAGAACTGGCTCTCAAACAGTCCAGGCAGCTTGTGCCGATGATTCCAAAGACGGTAAGTGAAACCTTTTTTATTTTGTTCCTCCTCGTTCGCTCTTCTAACGGGATTTACTCTTTGCAGGCTCTTAACTCTCGGGACAAAGCCAAGCCAAAGCTGACAAGCCTGGTGTCCCCTAGCACACCAAAGATCGCTCAAGCTCCGAGCAGCCCCATGCTTAGACAACCTCCTCCGATACGCGTCGAAACTCCAAAGACTCCCCAGAGCAAGCTTCACGTCCTCAAGCCCGGGGTGGCGATTCCAGAGACCGCTCCAGCCGCGAGCTCAGTTGGCCGAACTCCAACTGCCGGCGCGAACTCCACTGCTCCTCGCAAGCTGAAGCAGCTGCTAGATCGCCGGGCCGTCCCGATACCTCCGCTCTCCGCCAGCGCCGGGGGAGCCGACGCGAGCCGAGCTCGAAACAGCAAAGAGAACGGCGTCACCGAAGACAAGAGGCTCCAGGCACAGGCTCAGAACCGAAGCGACTTTTACAACGCTATCCGGAGGAAGGCCGCCGGCGCAGGAGGAAGCAGTAGCAAGCCGGAGGAGAAGAGCAGCAGTGGCGACTCCAACGGCGGCGGTGGTGGTGCCGGGAATGGCCGTGACAGGGAGCTGGAAGATGAAACGCAGGATGGTGGTGAAAGTCCGCCGGTGGCGGAGGTGGATCATCGCCGCCACCACCCGGCTCCCACCGCTTATCTCGATAACGACGACAATGCTGCCAATGGCGTGAAGAGCGAGCACTCGATCAAGGACGTTGTTGGTGGCTCCGAGGAGGAGGAAGCGGCATTTTTGAGATCGCTCGGGTGGGAGGAGGATGGCGACGCCGAGGGAGGAGAGGGGCTGACCGAGGAGGAGATTAGTGCATTTTATCGAGAGGTAAAGCTGGTGTTTTCGAGTTGTTTTCGTTGTTTTAACTCTGGAAGTTTGCTCTCTTTGTTTTGCAGCATATGAGGTCGATGAGTAGCTCCCCTCTGAGCAGCCGGATACATAACAGGCTCCAGAATGCCGTGCTTCGATCTAGCGGAGGAATCAACGGGGTTTCGGCTGGAATCAGCTCGTCCGACTCGGAGTCCGACGGCGAAGTCCGCGCCGCCAACAATGTTCTCGCGTCGAGACTCGTGGGATGATAATTGGTGACAACGAAAAGAAGGATGGCAGTCACACGGAGGAGGAGTCGATCACTCTCGGAGTTCTAAAGGTTTTTTTTTTTGTTTTGGCTGGAAGATGTCGTGTACAGGCATGGATGGAGGAGGAAGAAGGAAAAATTAAACAAGGATTTGCCGTTCTTCAAGAGGTAACGAGGAAAGAAAAAGTGAGAGAAGAGAGAAGTTGTGGGATGTCTTTGACCACTCTGGAAGCAAAGAAAATTTTTTTATTACTATGATCCATGGAAGTGTTCCAAAGTCATAGCCTTGTTGTCGTAATGTTCTTGGGTAACTTCATGTTTTTGTCTCTATAAAAGATCTCAAAAAGATGAGAAGAGTTTTATGTTCTTGGGTTAACTTGTACCAAAAAAAGTCTCTAAAAGGTACCCAAAAAAAGGTGAGAAGAAAGAGTTTCGATTGACTTTAGCGAACATTGTACAAGTAATCGAAAGTGAGATCAAATCCATCGATCCATTCACGGGATCACTCCCGGGTCAGTGAAAAAGGAACTCCTCTCTTTTCTCTTTTTCTCTTTTTCTTGTCACTGGAGTGGCAAGTTGCTATGGGCAGTGTTCTTGGTGTCAGGATTGGAGACGTCGCTGGTCGAGATTTGGAGTTCTCTTTCATCCTCGATCTCGATTCTTTCGTTCTGCAGCGATCGATCCAGCTAAAGATCAAACGAGGCAACGAGAGGAGAGAAAAACCAAAAGAGTGTACCTGCGATTCTTTGAGTGAGGAGAATAATGTGATCGCTGTCGCAGCTGCTATTCCAAAGACTGGCGCGAGGGCTTTGGCCATGTCCATGTCTGCTTGTTTCTGTTCAAGCGATGACCTTACCATCCTGGATTTTGAGTATCGATCGATAACTTAACGGGAAGAAGATAGAAAGGACTCTACCTTTCTCGACTAACTGGAAATGCCCAAAACACGAGCTCGATCGATCGATGAGCGACGAGACTTATGATTCCACTCCACAAAATTCCCCTTCTTTGCTTGCAGGAGAGAAAAAATGAAATCCACCTACACACAAGAGAAGTGTTCTTCAGTTTAGTCGGGCTTATATATACAAGCGCGGGCCGCTGAATGAGACGAGGCCACCTGTGCATCTGCGACGTCGACACGTGTTTGATATTTTATGCAGTTACTGGGGGAGATTCTTCTACCATGTCAAACTCAGAGGAAAACAAAACAACTAATATTAAGCATTAGAGCAATTAAAATCTAGGAAATTAGACTTGAATTTGGCAATCAAGCGGCCTCTTTATTTTGGGCAGCAAAGCAAACATTGTCTAAATAGCACAGTAGTGTTTTTATCCATTACTGACGCTTTGATTTCTTCCGAATGTTGTCCTTTTACATTACAATATATTACTTCAGCACCATATTTCCAACTGAATCAACTACTGCAAAGCCAAAGTTGCTTGGTTTACTGCCACGATGGCAAGAGGTCAATATTATTAGACCCTTTATTAGTCCCTCTTGTTCAAGTGTCCTTGCTTTTGGGATGATAGTGCAGTATCAAGCTGTGCTGCCCTGACAAAAGACCTCTCAAGTCCACTCTGAGTGCTAGTACAAGAAAACATATACTGTAAGAATGACTACCTGAGAAAGGGGAAACCACTTAGGGTGGAGGTCTGGACTTGATCGTGGTTTCTATATGAACTTTCATTGCCATGCATCTATAGTTCGCCTCAGTGTTCTTCACATTCTCTCTGGGCTCCAAAGTTCACTAACGTACCAGGTGCGCCAAGTACAGAGCTACAGGTTGCGAATTCGTGGTGAGGCACCCTGATAGCTATAGGCTCTACTCATGTCAAAGGCTTCTGCTCGTCATATACAGCGTTTATGAATCGTGGTGAGTTTTGAGATCGCTCCGCCGTGAGTAGCTCCGCTCTGAGCCGGATACATAACAGGCTCCAGAATGCCGTGCTTCGATCTAGCGGAGGAATCAACGGGTTTTCGGCTGGAATCAGTCGTCCGACTCGGAGTCTGATGGCGAAGTTCGCTCCGCCAACAATGTTCTCGCGTCGGGACTCGTGGGATGATAATTGGTGACAACGCAAAGAAGGATGGCAGTCACACGGAGGAGTCGATCACTCTCGGAGTTTTAGAGGTTTTTTCGGTTTGGCTGGAAGATGTCGTGTACAGGCATGGATGGAGGAAGAAGGAAGAATTAAACAAAACTTTGCCGTTCTTCAAGAGGTAACGAGGAAAGAAAGAATTAAAGCAGAGAGAAGTTGTGAGACGTCTTTGACCAGGTGTGTTGTCGTAATGTTCTTGGGGTAACTTCCGACACAAAAAAGGTACTCAAAAAAAAAGTTTTTAAAGGTTCTTGTCTCTAAAGGTACCCAAAATAAGGTGAGAAAAAAGAGTTTCGATTGACTTTGGCGAAGATTGTACAAGGAAAAGTAATCGAAAGTTAGATAAAAATCCAATCGATCCATTCACGGGATCACTCCCCGGTCAGTGAAAAAAGAACTGCTCTCTTTTTCTCTTTTCTTGTCACTGGAGTGGCAAGTTGCTGTGCCCAGTGGTCTTGGTGTCTGGATTGGAGACGTCTCTGGTCGAGATTTCGAGCTCTCCTTCATCCTCGACCTCGATTCTTTCGTTCTGCAGCAATCGATCCAGCTAAAGATCAATCAAACGAGGCAACGAGAGGAGAGAAAAACCAAAAGAGTGTACCTGGGATTCTTTGAGTGTCGAGAATAATGTGATCGCTGTCGCAGCTGCTATTCCAAAGACTGGCGCGAGGGCTTTGGCCATATCCATGTCTGCTTGTTTCCGTTCAAGCGGTGACCTTCCCATCCTTGATTTTGAGTATCGATCGAGAACTTTTAACGGGAAGAATGGAAAGGACTCTACCTTTCTCGACTGACTGGAAATGCCCAAAACACGTGCCGAGATTTATGATTCGACTCCACAAAAATCCCCTTCTTTGCTTGCTAGGAAAGAAAAAAATGAAATCCCACCAGCGCGTACAGGGGAAGTGTTCTTCAGTTTAGTCGGGCTTATATACAAGGGCGGGCCGACTTGAAGTTGAGGCGTGGATTAATGAGACGAGGCCACCTGTGTTCTGGATCTTCTATGCTGACACGTGTGCTGGATATTTATGTAGTTACTGGGAGATTCTTCTGCCACCATTCTTGAACATGTCAAACCCAGAAAAAACACGTGCCTAAACAACTTCTCAAAAGCTATAGCCGATTAGAGCAATCTCTATCCTAATTAATATTTAGGAAGTTATGCCCGCTTGATTAGAGCAAATTCAATTGTATTAAATTAGAATGTCTACAGAATATTTGGGCAACAAACATTGTCTAAAGGCTAAGTATCTTAACAATGCTCAGGCCAATAGCACGGAGTGTTCTTTCTTATCCCAAGTCATACTAAGAAATAATGAGAACCACACACAAGCTTGTTTAGTGTTTTTATAATTTTTGTCTATAGAAGAATTTACTTGTCAACTATTTAGGAATTGCAAAAGGCAGGACCTTTTTTAAGCTCAGCTTCTTGAATTCGTAAAATTCCATGTAGATTAGTAAGCCTTTATTTTGAATAAATGAAAAAGATAGAAAAATTCAGAATATAATTTCTTATTATTATATAAAGTAAAAAAAGTAATTGGCCTGTTAAATTCAAATACAGCTAATACAAGCATATGAAATTATAATTTCTATTTAAACCTTTATCATCAAACTAAATTACTGACATTATTATCAATTAAGGTATTGATTGCATTAATTTACTTCTAAAGTCAAAAAACATCCAAAAAAGTCAAATAAATTTTTGCATTGGGAAGTCCGGTGATTGCTGAAATAAACTTTTTCCTCAAGCATCCCACAAAGATCAAGATCAAAATGAATCAACTCACATTTCATCTCTTAATTCTCCATTTCACATTCTTTGCCCATTGTGATGGCGACGTTTTTCGTTCAAGAGTTCCCACAAACTCCTCATGGAGATTCAATCTAGACACCAGCGGCACCATCATCCTTTATCAGCCTTCTCGCAAGCTAGCGGTCGGATTCGCTTTTATTAATTGCGAAGCGTGTAATTCTAGGCCTAGTGTCTACTTCTCGGTGGTCATGCTAAGCAAGACTCCCAGTAGTGTGGCAGACGTTGAATTCGGCCCGAGCGCTAGCCAAGCTCACTTAATCTGGGTTGCAAACAGAAACCGGCCAGTCTTCATGTACTGCGCCCTCGAGCTACAGCTCGATGGAAACTTGGTCTTGCGAGATAGCGACGCCACCATCGTGTGGCAATCCAACACGGCTGGGCTGGGCGTCGCGGGGATGGAGCTCCGCGAGACAGGCAATCTGGTTCTCTATGGCAGCGGCAACCAAACGATCTGGCAGAGCTTTGGAGAGCTCCAAGACACGCTCACCATTGGTCAACGCCTCCAGCCTGGGGAATCTCTCGAGAGTAGCGTGTCCGAGTTTAACTTCTCTCGTGGCCACTTTCGCCTCCTCGTGGAGCCCGACCGGGTATCGCTCAAGTTCTCCACCTCCGGGGTGAGCTACGGCGAGTGGTGCGCTTATGGAGAAGAGATTGGATTCGTCACCATTGATAATGGATCACTAGGTTGCCACCGCAAGAAGGATAACTCCGAGATCCAATCCATCCTTTTCCCGGCTGCATCATCCGTAGTTAACAACAGGTTCTTGCGGCTCTTTCCAAGCGGCGATCTCCGGGTATACACCTCCGAGGGAGATATTCTTGTCGAAACCGGGTATAGTATCATCAGCGACTTTGTGGAGGACTACTCGCCATGCGGGAAGTTCCCGGGATCTTGTGGGGAGTATGGCGTGTGTACAACGAGTGGAGAGTGCATTTGTCCCAGCTATTCCTCGTACTTGGACCCTAGCAATCCCAAGCTTGGATGCAAGCTAAATCGCCCACCACCAGAGTCTTTGGAAAACTGCGAGGAAAACAGCGAGATCGAGGAGTTTCCTGGGATGATCTCTGTGGGGTTGTACAAGGATTTTACAGACATGCCACTTGAGAAGTGTAGGAATTCGTGCCTGGGGAACTGTAGCTGCAAGGGAGTGCTGTTCAGCACGCACAGGTGCGTGGAATTGCTCGAGGTTTTCACCTTGTGGAACTCTACGGGTATGTATGGAAAGTCTAATAACATCACAGCGTTTGTGAAGATGGGCTTGCGGAATTCTACGAAATTGACTTTTCCAAAACTCAACAATCAGAGAAAAAAATCATGGTCTTTGACTTACATTGCTGTTGCCATTGTTTTTGGAGCCGTTATTGTTGTGGTGGTAGCGGTGATATGGAAGTTCCCGAATGCAAAAGCTTTCAAGAAGTCTCAGGAGACGATTATGGAACAAGTCCGGCCAGAGTTTCCTAATGCTCCCAGGTGTTACGCGTATGAGGAGCTGTGTGAGATCACTAGCAACTTCAAGAGCAAACTTGGCCAGGGAGGATTCAGCACTGTTTTTGCGGGAGTTTTCCAGGATGGCAGCAAGGTTGCGGTCAAGAGATTGGAGACTGCAAGGCAAGGGCTCAAGCAGTTCATGGCTGAGGTGAGAACCATTGGCAGCATCCATCACCGAAACCTAGTTCAGTTGCAAGGCTATGGAGCTGACGACCATCACTATTACCTGGTATACGAGTTTGTGGAAAATCTCTCGCTAGATAAGTGGCTCTTCAGTAAGATCCACAGTCATGATCCAAAAAAGCAGCAGGCTTTGAGGTGGAAGATAAGATCTCGGATCGCCATGGACATTGCTCGTGGACTGGATTATCTTCACGGAGGATGCAAGGATCAGGTCCTCCACCTTGACATCAAGCCACAAAACATCCTCCTTGACACAGATTTTGGAGCCAAGATTTGTGACTTTGGACTTGCAAGGCTGGTCGAGAGGAGTGATCACGAGAAGATCTTTGTCAACACGGTGATGCGAGGAACTCCCGGATACATGGCTCCCGAGTGGCTCCATTCCCGGGTGACGGACAAGGCAGATGTTTACAGCTTTGGGATCGTTTTGCTGGAGATTGTGAGTGGAAGAAAGGTGGTGCCCCTCCCGGCCAGCGCGGTGATCAGTCAGGGAGATTCCAGGATCTTAAAAGTAAACGCATTTGAAAGAAGTGAACTGCTGCTTGGACACGTGGATCCGGGACTGCTGCTTGAGCCCGACTTCGATTTGGGAGAGGCGAAAGAGGTGGTAAGGGTTGGACTTATGTGCGTCCACCAAGAACAGCTTCTAAGACCTTCTATGGGGGTTGTGTTGAAAATGCTGGAAGAAGCGTTGGCCAATAGATGAAACCTATTCGGTAATAGAATTATTTTACTATGGTGAAGATGTTTGGAAAAAGTTTACTTTTATTGACTGTTTGACTTTAATCGACTTTTTTAATCAATTTTGAGCGTCCAGGCTCAACGGACGGAGGATTTCTACCTATTTGTCTCGGTTTTATCAACAGGAAGGATTCGAAAAGTCATGAATCACCATTGGGAAACCCGGTGATTGTTCAAAGAGAGTTTTTCTTTGCATCACCGTAAAAACTAATATGAATCACCTTGGTTCACGCATATTACATCTCTTAATTCGGCTATCAATTCTCCATTTCCCATTCCTTGCCCACTGTGGCGATTTACTTGTCTCAAGAGTTCCCACAAACTCCTCATGGCAATTCACTTTCAGCAGCATCATCCTCTACCACCCTTCTCGCAATTTGGCCGCGGGATTCGCTTCAATTTATACTTCTTCTTTTTCTAGTGTCTACTTCTCGGTGTTCATGCAAGACAAGGCCCGGGATTCCGATAGCGTGGGAGAAATTGGATTTGGCCCTAGCGCTGGGAAAGCTGACTTAATCTGGGTAGCAAACACAAACAGGCCAGTCCTCATGTACTGCGTCCTCGAGCTAGAGCTGGATGGAAACCTGGTCTTGCGAGATAGCAACCACAGTATCGCGTGGGAATCCAAGACCGCTGGCATGGGCGTCGTGGGGATGGAGCTCCTCGAGACCGGCAATCTGGTTCTCTATGGCAGCGCCAACGAGATGATATGGCAGAGCTTTGCAGATCCCCACGATACACTCTCCGTCGGCCAGCGCCTCCTGCCCGGGCAATCGATTGTGAGCAGCGTGTCCAAGCATAACTTTTCGCGCGGCTACTTTCGCCTCCTCGTGGAACACGACCGGGTATCGCTGAAGTTCTCCACCTCTGGGGTGAGCTATGGAGAGTGGTGCCCTTCTAAAGAGGAGATTGGATTCCTTGCAGTAAACAATGGATCGATAAGTTGCCACCGCAAGCAGGATGGCTCCATGATCACGTCCATCACTTTCCCGGAGACTAAGAGCCGATTCTTGTGTCTCCTTCCAAGCGGCGATCTCCGGGTCTACGGCGATGTTGTTGCAGACAAGGGGAAAAGTATCATCGACAACTTCGTGGAGGACAACTCGCCGTGTGGGAAGTTCCCGGGATCTTGTGGGAAGTACGGCTTCTGTACGGCGAGTGGAGAATGCATTTGTCCCGCGAGCTACTCTTCGTACGTGGATGCTAGCAATCCCAGGCTTGGATGCAAGCTAAATCGCCCACCACCAGAGTCGCTGGAGAACTGCGAGATAAGTAGTGAGCTCGAGGAGTATCCTGGGTTGACCTCTGTTGGATTATACAAGGATTATACAGACGTGTCGATTGAGCAGTGTAAGAGTTCGTGCCTGAGGAACTGTAGCTGCATGGGAGTTCTGTTTAGCTTGCACAGGTGCGTGGAGTTGCCTGAGGTTTTCACCTTGTGGAACTCTATAGATATGTATGGATCGTCAGAGAATATCACGGCGTTTGTGAAGATGGGCTTGCGAAATTCTAGAAACTACAATGCTCCAAACGGGAGAGCAGAACTATATGATCGGAGAAAGGAATTGAGGTCATCGGCTTACATTGCTGCTGCCATTGTTTTTGGAGCAGCCATCATTTTGGTGGTCGCGGTATGGAAGTTTAACAAAGCAACACCAAAAGAGACAGGGAAGAACTCTCCGAGTAGGGAATTACTCCGGCCAGAGTTTCCTAACGCTCCCAGGTACTGTGAGTATGAGGAGCTGTGTGAGATCACTGGCAACTTCAAGACTAAACTTGGTCGGGGGGGATTCAGCACTGTTTTTGCAGGAGTTCTCCAAGATGGCAGCAAGGTTGAGGTTAAAAGGTTGGAGAGCGCAAGGCAAGGGCTCAAGCAATTCGAGGCCGAGGTGAGAACCATTGGAAGCATCCATCATCGAAACCTGGTCAAGTTGCAAGGCTATGGAGCTCACAGCCAGCACTACTACCTGGTATACGAGTTTGTGGAAAATCTCTCGTTAGATAAGTGGCTCTTTAGCAAGGTCGATGACCATGATCCGGACAAGCAGGAACAATTAAGCTGGAAGATAAGATCTCGGATTGCCATGGACATTGCTCGTGGCCTGGATTATCTTCACGGAGGCTGCAAGGATCAGGTCCTCCACCTTGACATCAAGCCACAAAACATCCTCCTTGACACAGATTTTGGAGCCAAGATTTGTGACTTTGGACTTGCAAGGCTGGTCGAGAGGAGTGATCACGAGAAGATCTTTGTCAACACGGTGATGCGAGGAACTCCCGGATACATGGCTCCCGAGTGGCTCCATTCCCGGGTGACGGACAAGGCAGATGTTTACAGCTTTGGGATCGTTTTGCTGGAGATTGTGAGTGGAAGAAAGGTGGTGCCCCTCCCGGCCAGCGCGGTGATCAGTCAGGGAGATTCCAGGATCTTAAAAGTAAACGCATTTGAAAGAAGTGAACTGCTGCTTGGACACGTGGATCCGGGACTGCTGCTTGAGCCCGACTTCGATTTGGGAGAGGCGAAAGAGGTGGTAAGGGTTGGACTTATGTGCGTCCACCAAGAACAGCTTCTAAGACCTTCTATGGGGGTTGTGTTGAAAATGCTGGAAGAAGCGTTGGCCAATAGATGAAACCTATTCGGTAATAGAATTATTTTAATATGGTGAAGATGTTTGGAAAAAGTTTACTTTTATTGACTGTTTGACTTTAATCGACTTTTTTAATCAATTTTGAGCGTCCAGGCTCAACGGACGGAGGATTTCTACCTATTTGTCTCGGTTTTATCAACAGGAAGGATTCGAAAAGTCATGAATCACCATTGGGAAACCCGGTGATTGTTCAAAGAGAGTTTTTCTTTGCATCACCGTAAAAACTAATATGAATCACCTTGGTTCACGCATATTACATCTCTTAATTCGGCTATCAATTCTCCATTTCCCATTCCTTGCCCACTGTGGCGATTTACTTGTCTCAAGAGTTCCCACAAACTCCTCATGGCAATTCACTTTCAGCAGCATCATCCTCTACCACCCTTCTCGCAATTTGGCCGCGGGATTCGCTTCAATTTATACTTCTTCTTTTTCTAGTGTCTACTTCTCGGTGTTCATGCAAGACAAGGCCCGGGATTCCGATAGCGTGGGAGAAATTGGATTTGGCCCTAGCGCTGGGAAAGCTGACTTAATCTGGGTAGCAAACACAAACAGGCCAGTCCTCATGTACTGCGTCCTCGAGCTAGAGCTGGATGGAAACCTGGTCTTGCGAGATAGCAACCACAGTATCGCGTGGGAATCCAAGACCGCTGGCATGGGCGTCGTGGGGATGGAGCTCCTCGAGACCGGCAATCTGGTTCTCTATGGCAGCGCCAACGAGATGATATGGCAGAGCTTTGCAGATCCCCACGATACACTCTCCGTCGGCCAGCGCCTCCTGCCCGGGCAATCGATTGTGAGCAGCGTGTCCAAGCATAACTTTTCGCGCGGCTACTTTCGCCTCCTCGTGGAACACGACCGGGTATCGCTGAAGTTCTCCACCTCTGGGGTGAGCTATGGCGAGTGGTGCCCTTCCAAAGAGGAGATTGGATTCCTTGCAGTAAACAATGGATCGATAAGTTGCCACCGCAAGCAGGATGGCTCCATGATCACGTTCATCACTTTCCCAGCGACTAAGAGCAGATTCTTGTGTCTCCTTCCAAGCGGCGATCTCCGGGTCTACGGCGATGTTGTTGCGGACAAGGGGAAAAGTATCATAGACAACTTTGTGGAGGAGAACTCGCCGTGTGGGAAGTCCCGGGATCATGTGGGAAGTACGGCTTCTGTACGACGAGTGGAGAATGCATTTGTCCCGCGAGCTACTCTTCGTACATGGATGCTAGCAATCCCAGGCTTGGATGCAAGCTAAATCGCCCACCACCAGAGTCGCTGGAGAACTGCGAGACAAGCAGTGAGCTCGAGGAGTATCCTGGGTTGACCTCTGTTGGATTATACAAGGATTATACAGACGTGTCGATTGAGCAGTGTAAGAGTTCGTGCCTGAGGAACTGTAGCTGCATGGGAGTTCTGTTTAGCTTGCACAGGTGCGTGGAGTTGCCTGAGGTTTTCACCTTGTGGAACTCTATAGATATGTATGGATCGTCAGAGAATATCACGGCGTTTCTGAAGATGGGCTTGCGAAATTCTACAAACTACAATGCTCCAAACGGGAGAGCAGAACTGTATAATCAGAGAAAGGAATTGAGGCCATCGGCTTACATTGCTGCTGCCATTGTTTTTGGAGCAGCCATCATTTTGGTGGTCGCGGTATGGAAGTTTAAGAAAGCAACACCAAAAGAGACAAGGAAGAACTCTCCGAGTAGGGAATTACTCCGGCCAGAGTTTCCTAACGCTCCCAGGCACTGTGAGTACGAGGAGCTGTGTGAGATCACTGGCAACTTCAAGACTAAACTTGGTCGGGGGGGATTCAGCACTGTTTTTGCAGGAGTTCTCCAAGATGGCAGCAAGGTTGCGGTTAAAAGGTTGGAGAGCGCAAGGCAAGGGCTCAAGCAATTCGAGGCCGAGGTGAGAACCATTGGAAGCATCCATCATCGAAACCTGGTCAAGTTGCAAGGCTATGGAGCTCACGGCCAGCACTACTACCTGGTATATGAGTTCGTGGAAAATCTTTCGTTAGATAAGTGGCTCTTTAGCAAGGTCGATGACCATGATCCGGACAAGCAGGAACATTTGAGCTGGAAGATAAGATCTCGGATTGCCATGGACATTGCTCGTGGACTGGATTATCTTCACGGAGGCTGCAAGGATCAGGTCGTCCACCTTGACATCAAGCCACAAAACATCCTCCTTGACACGGACTTTGGAGCCAAGATTTGTGACTTTGGACTCGCAAGGCTGGTCGAGAGGAGTGATCACGAGAAGATCTTTGTCAACACGGTGATGCGAGGAACTCCCGGATACATGGCTCCTGAGTGGCTCCATTCCCGGGTGACGGACAAGGCAGATGTTTACAGCTTTGGGATCGTTTTGCTGGAGCTTGTGAGTGGAAGAAAGGTGGTGCCCCTACCATCCAGCGCGGTGATCAGCCACGGAGCTTCCAGGATCTTGAAAGTAAAAGCATTTGAAAGAAGTGAATTGCTGCTTGGAAACATGGATCCGGGGCTGTTGATTGTGCCGGACTTTAATTTGGAAGAGGCCAAAGAGTTGGTAAGGGTTGGACTTCTGTGCGTCCAGCAAGAACAGCTTCGAAGACCTTCTATCGGGGTTGTGATGAAAATGCTGGAAGAAGCAATCAAAAAAATATGAAACAACTAATTTAAAATTCATTCGAAGGATTTATGATTTTTGGTCAGTGCAGGGTGGTATTTTGATTTTAGCAACCGGAAGTATTAAAAAAAGTCCGGTGATTGTTCAAAGAAGTATTTTGGCATTGTAGGATTTGCTAAATTCTCCATTTTTCCCGCTGTGCTCAAGAGTTCCCACAAATTCCTTGTGGCAATTCGGTTTAAGCAGCATCATCCTACCAGCCTTCTCGCAAACTGGCCGCAGGGTTCGCTTCAATTCATTGCAAGGCATGTTCTACTTCTAGTGTCTACTTCTCGGTGTTCAAGGCCCCGGATCCCGATAGCCTGAGAGAAATTGGCTCTGGCGCTGGGTAGCAAACACAAACAGGCCAGTCTTCATGTACTGCGTCCTCGAGCTAGAGCTGGATGGAAACCTGGTCCTTGCGAGATAGCAACCGCGTGGGAATCCAAGACCGCTGGCATGGGCGTCGTGGGGATGGAGCTCCTCGAGACCAGCAATCTGGTTCTCGATGGCAGCGCTAACGAGATGGATGATATGGCAGAGCTTTGCAGATCCCCACGATACACTCGTCGGCCAGCGCCTCCTGCCCGGGCAATCGATTGTGAGCAGCTTCTCCAAGCATAACTTTTCGCGCGGCTACTTTCGCCTCCTCGTGGAACACGACCGGGTATCGCTGAAGTTCTCCACCTCTGGGGTGAGCTCTGCTTCCAAAGAGGAGATTGGATTCCTTGCAATAAACAATGGATCGCTAAGTTGTAAGTTGCCACCGCAAGAAGGATGGCTCCATGATCACGTTCACTTTCCCGCCGACTAAGAGCAGATTCTTGGGCTTCTTCCAAGCGGCGATCTCCGGGTCTACGGCGATGTTGTGGAGGACAACTCGCCGTGTGGAACGTTCCCGGGATCTTGTGGGAAGTACGGCTTCTGTACGACGAGTGGAGATTGCACCTGTCCCGCGAGATGAGTAATGAGCTCGAGGAGTATCCTGTGGACTATACAAGGATTTTACAAACGTGTCGATTGAGCAGTGTAAGAGTTCGTGCCTGGGGAGTGCTGTTTAGCTTGCACAGGTGCATGGAATTGCCTGAGGTTTTCACCTTGTGGAACTCTATAGGTATGTATGGATCGTCAGAGAATATCACGGCCAAATTCTACAAACTACAACTTGAATACTCCAAGCGGGAGAGCATAACTATATGACCGGAGAAAGAAATTGAGGTCATCGACTCACATTGCGGCTGCCATTGTTTTTGGAGCAGCCATCATTTTGGTGGTCGTGGTATGGAAGTTTTACAAAGCAACAGCTTTCACACCAAAAGAAACAGGGAAGAACTCTCCGAGTAGGGAATTACTCCGGCCAGAGTTTCCTAACGCTCCCAGGTACTGTGAGCACGAGGAGCTGTGTGAGATCACTAGCAACTTCAAGACTAAACTTGGTCGGGGAGGATTTAGCACCGTTTTTGCGGGAGTTCTCCAAGATGGCAACAAGGTTGCCGTAAAAAGGTTGGAGAGCGCAAAGCAAGGGCTCAAGAAATTCGAGGCCGAGGTGAGAACCGTTGGAAGCACCCATCATCGAAACCTGGTCAAGTTGCAAGGCTATGGAGCTCACGGCCAGCACTACTACCTGGTATACGAGTTTGTGGAAATCTTTCGCTGGATAAGTGGCTCTTTAGTAATATCCCGGACAAGCATGAACATTTGAGCTCGAGGACTAGATTACCTTCACGGAGGATGCAAGGATCAGGTCCTCCACCTGATATCAAGCCGCAAAACATCCTCCTTGACGCAAACTTTGGAGCCAAGATTTGTGATTTTGGACTTGCAAGGTTGGTTGAAAGGAGTGACCATGAGAAGAACTTCGTCAACACGGTGATGCGGGGACTCCCAGATACATGGCTCCAGAGTGACTCCATTCACGGGTGACAGAGAAGGCAGATGTTTAGAGCTGGAGCTTTCGAGTGGGAGGAAAACGGTTCCCCTCCCGTCTAGTGCCTCGATCAGTCAGGGAACTTCCAGGATCTTGAAAGTAA